TTAATGACTATGACTCTAGCCACTCAGAAGTATTTTAAAAATCATTGATTATCATTACTGTTACCGCTTTCAAGTTTGATCAAGTTTGATTGTTGAAAAAAGGAAACTTTGTTCACCTGTGTGCTTTATGCTGTGCAGTGTTGGATTAAAAGGAGAATAGGAGAATTTATTTGTACACATCGGCCACTTTGCTCCAACACCCATGAATATTGTGCTCCGACCTTGACAGTTGTTCTTTAAATTATCCGTGGGGTTAATGAACACTGGGCTATTCTCATTATTTGCACAGTGCCATGACACCAGCTCATGGCTTTTTGTCCTCGCTGCGCATCAGAACAGTAAATTACACAGAGAGTTTTCTCACTTGTGCAGAGCAGCCACATATGTGACACTAACAATGATCTGTGCGTGCGTGAGTGGGTGTGGGTGTGTGTGTGTGTGTGTGATGCTGTTATTTTTTACTCTGTTGTGTTAGCACTGGATATGTTTTCTCTGAACTGGAGTGTGGAGAAGCACATGTGAGAGTGATTTCCATTCACGTCTGACACACTTGTCACAGATTGAACCGACTGCTCACACTGCTGTTTAAATGTCACACTCCACTTATATTCTCCCTGACAAAAGCCACACATGCTTTTCCTTTACATTAAACAAAAGCAGCGTGGACCAGTGTGTGTGACTGCTTTCTTTCATTTTTCATTTGCTTATGTAAACACAGCCCTGTGTTGGGGGAAATATCACTTTTCTAGGATGTACGTAGGAGTAATTTTTTTTTTCTTTTGATGCCCACATTTCTGGAGAAGCTCACAGTGAGAATGACACACCCGCAGTTTGCTCGTAGACACTGAAAGCGGAGCAGCGGAGACACCTTTGATGAGACCAACTTAAGAGTCTTTGATGTGGTGAGTTGATGAAGCTGATTCCAGCTGCTTTGTGCTCTTCAAGGCCGTCCTGCGGCCGCCCTCTCACCAAATTAATAATGGCACCTGTACACCTGCTTCTTCCTCAATTCCGCACCGACTCTTCTGCTCTTGTTTATCTGTAACGTTATGTACAGTATTTGTTCAATTATGTACAGTACACTGTGGGGGCTGTAGACAACTGGCAGCAAGAGAGGATGAGAATTGTACAGAAGAAAAGAGACGACAGACTCCTGTTATGTCAGAACTACTCCAAACATAGAAGTTGTTTTTGTTGTTGAGTTTTGATTCTCTGGCTTTTAATTTACATAAAACGAATAATATATACCTTCAAAACTCAACTCAGTAGATGGCGAAGAAAGTAGCAGGGTGAACAAAACAGCTCTGGATAAGTCTTTTTTTTTTTTTTTTTTAAGAGATTTTGAAATTATTAAAACATTGCTCTATAAGCTACTATCGCAGAATCTATCTGTTTTTAAAGACTGATGTTCCGGCAGTAAGGTCTGGGACAATGTCTCGAGAAAATTAATTTATTGAACGTCTAGTTAACTTTTCTTCATTAACTTCTAATTAGAGAATGATGTAATTAAATCACAGCCTGCTCTGTTAATACCACATGACCTTACATTTAAATACAAAAATATCGACTTCTTAATCGTAGAGGATGACTATAAAGTATTTTTCCTGTATTGATTTTGTCCCGACCCTCATATTTATTAACCCATCAATAGATTATTTTCTCAACCTTAATTACGTACTTTAATTTCATCCTCAGTGTTACGTATAAACTGAAAGAATCCAGTGAGATAATATTGATCTCAGCCCAGCGCAGTGTCACGATCCAGCACGAGTCAAGACTCGGAGCCTTTCCTATTTTTCATGTTTGTCTGCAGCTGGTGATGAAGCCACTACAGAAGAAGCCTACTACTATCAGGAAACAGCTGTCCAGCTCTAATCTTTTTATGAGCGATATGCTGTTTTTAATGAAAGCCCTCGCAGCACCACACAATCAGCTGCCCATATCACAGCTTATATTTCACCCTGCTATTGTGATGTCATCAGCGGGCGCAGGCATAATACATAATTCCCCCAGTGTTATGACAAACTGTGGCCCCGGGCCAGAGAGGTATATGAACGCTTTTGGGTCCATGTCAAGTCCATGCCATTTGTGCGGGAATAATGGCTGTTGGCTTGTTGCTGGATGCTGTGAAATAAGGGCTGACATCAAACAACAAATAGGTCAGAGCTATTTGAATAGAGAGTGTGGAAGTCAAATGAATGGCTTCACAGACTCGCACGTGCCTCCCTTCCCTCTGCTAACCCCTCCACACACACTCGCATAGATCTGTTGAAGATAAGACGCAGTAAAGGAATGGACAGTTATTTTACCAAGTCTTTAGGTCAACACTCGCTTAGACATTAGGTTCATAATAGTATCAGTTTACTATAATGTACATCACACCAGTGATGACGTACCACTGTGTCTGGTTGACACCACAGACGTCAAATGGAGACTTAAGAATCGCAATAATTGACTGAATCTTCCACAACAGTCCAACATTCTCCTCTCTCACACACACACTCACTCGCCCCCCACCCCCAAAAAAATCTTTATCTGCTACATGATGCATGAAAGCATACAGTCTTCTCATACAACTTTACATGACCCCTGACCTTATCTACACAGATGCAATATGACCCAGCTGCCACCATCCATTTGGGCCTTGGTTGTATGGATTCAATGAATTTTTATTGCGCTGCATGTCTATGTCACCAGGCTTGTCTTTTGGCTTGAAAAAAAAGAAAGAAAAAAACAGTTTTTATTCAGTCATTGTGTTGGTGAGACTCTGAAATTATTAAACTCTAATATTTATTGAATTTATAATTCCAACTGGATAGTGACAGACAGGTTTGCAGCCATGATGCTTGGCAAACGAAAATGATTGATTTTTTAAAATTCTCCATCTCCAATAAAATCTGGCATTGTTTTCAATGTAATTCAACATCTCATCCAAATGGTTCTGTTTGACAATTTTGAGTATAAAGCGAATCTGAATTCATTCTTTATGTAGTTTTCTTATTTCTTCTCTAAATCAGACGTAAATCCCAGAATTACGACTTCCAAGTTTCAGAGTTTTGTTTGTCCTTTTCTGAGTTACTTTTATTTTATTTTTTTTTATTTTATTCTAACTTTTAACTTAATTGCTGTCTGTACCAGTCAGCCTATTTTCTTATATATGTATGTTTTTTTTGGTTTGTTTTTTTTGCTAAACCTAACTCCAAATGGTGATTTCATGCCTTGGTGGTTTGTTGGATATTTGGATGTACTGTCACTCAATGAACCACACAGAAACACTCCTGTGTTCATCTGCTTTATTTAGTGACTTTTTTCCCACAGGAGCCTCTCAAATTGTCAGCAGCAGGCAACAACTATTTGTTCCCCAGAGAGAGAACAAATATCCAGGGAATCAGGCGTCATTTAGCCTGTAAAAGCCTGTTTCCTTCCCCCACTCACTGTATTACCTTCATTTTCCTCTTTTCTTTCTGTTTTCTCTTCTGTCTCCCAAATGTACAAGCCGTCAATCTTATTGTTTCACATGTGTTGATTTCACCCCCCCACTCACCCCAGCCTCTTCACCCCTCAGCCCATCTTATTAAAATCAGATTTTTTTTTATTTTTTTTTTATCTTTGTTCTTCTTTGTTTTCCTGTCACCAGTAAAATGACAATAAAATGGTCTGGGCAGCAGCTGATGATTATTTCACTGGTGATGGACCAATCGATTCTCCCTCATTTATTGTTTGGTCTCTGACACGTTAGAGTCATTTTTCTTAAGAGACCCAAAGCTTCATAAATTAATAGACCACTAAATATATATTTTCACCACATTTCCTCTTTTTTTTTGTTAAAAATGAACTGTACATCTGACAACTCCGTACAGACTCTGAATTATCTCACTCCATTTCTCTGTAACGGTCTAAAATAAATATTTTCTTCTATTTCTCAGAATCCAATTAAACGCCTCATTAACATAAGGACCGTCTTTCAAAAAATAGACTCTGTTTCTATATCATTTATTTACATGCAGTTGTAACAACAGAGTTTGTTTAAAGAAAGTAAGTCCACAGACAATTAGTTTCATCCATTAATTAGTCCATTCTGTGGCGGTTTTTCTACAAATAAATGTGATACTTGAGCAGTAAGTCAAAGCACTGTGTTGGAAAGTGATGAAAACATCATTTATTTTTAACTTCTCTCTCACTGATGACTTGTGCAACATTGTTGATAAAGAAAGGACAAAGACACAGTCCTTCATTCACCTTCATTAGAGAAAAGTAACTTTTTTAACATGGATCCAGTTTGCATTTAGTGTATACTTATTCGTCTTAATGTTTTAAAACATACATTTAGAATTTGACAAACTAACATGAGCCAATGGGGGGAACAGCAATTAATTAGAATGAGCAAAATTATACACACATTTAAAAAAAACACAACAATTTAAACTGTTAATTTCAGAGAAACAAGATAATTCAATAATAAATTTAATGATTTTAAAGTGACCTCAACAGAGATACGAACATAAGGTAAATAAACAGATGAACAGTGAGCCAAACCAGATCCACATTATTCTTTTCTTTTTGTATGTTAAACAATGTTGGCTGATACAGTGTGTTCTCAGCAGCAGCAGCGCATAAATACACTCCATTACATTTGTGCTGCCAAATGCTGTTGAAGTGCCAGCACGATCTGATGAGAGAGTGAAAATTTTATTGTAACAGAGAGAGCGAAAGAGCTGAGGAATTTTTACATTCAAATCGATGAGTTCTTAGTCAAAGTTACTAGTAGATAAGGACATGTTTGGTCATCAGTTCCACCTGCCCCATCCACCGTTATTGGTCAAATCCAGAGCATTTTATGTAAAAAAAAGAAAGCTCTTCAGTAGTTTTTTAATCCAACCTCTGTTGTTAAATCTAATTGTATTTGTTTATTCGTTAATTTCCCTTTTGCCCAATTTCACAGTTAAACAAAGTAGAATTGCCATTGAAGGTCGTTTTTTTTCTTCTTCTCTCTCCTGCAGACATCACAACAACTGAGTTCTTCTGCTGATCGCTGGACAAACAACTCTGTGCAAGGTGAGTGTGTACTACCTGGAGGGTTTGCACTGGCAACTCTTCTGAGAAAAGTAGTTTGTAGTTTGTGCAGAAAGTTGCTGTATTTATGGACACGCGTCCTGGGGGTATTTAAATTTGATAAATGTCGATTTAGAAGTAGCTGAGTTTTCCCTCTGCACTGAGTCTGAGCACGAATTAGAGAATTTCTCTGTTTTAGGTTTTTTAAATCCAGCAACACACACATTAACATTCATTTAACTGCACCTAGATACAATACAGCAACAATACACCTGGTACATGTTGCCATTGATGTGACTTTTGTTGATTTAAAATGCTACGTCTCCACTTTACTACTGTGTATACTGAGATATGTTGCAGAGCGATGAGAGGATATTTTTAATGTATATGTTTTACATAGAACCATCAGGTATTCAGTACATTTGACTGGATGGTCATGGACCAAAAGACTCTGTAGTCTAACTTTGTACTGTATGAATGTGGTGTATTCAGCCGACTCAGGAAACATCAGATTCAAGGTCGTTCACTGGACGTGTTGTTGTCCTCTGTAGCTTATCTTCACTCAATCCCTGTATCACGGCTGACAGAGAGAAAATAGCTGCGTCCCATGTACAGTACTACATACACAGACTAATCTAGTGCTATAAGATGAAGATAACCCTGGAGAAACCACAGGTAATGCACAAACAAATCACCAGAAGTTCACTATCAGCAGACAAAGCAGACCTGGCAACCTGTCTCCGCGCGGTTCCTAATTCTTCTGGCACTCTCTTTAGCCTCCATCTATCTTTCCTCCTCTTCTTCTTTTCTGTGATCCCTCTCTCTTTCTTTCCCCTCCTTTTCTTCTACTTTCCCTTCCTCTCCCTCTCTCATTGAAGCCTGCAATTTAATAACCTCAAGTGCTGTCAGAGGAGGCATTGAAAAATGGCTTCTATAAAACATAACGGCCTTAATCAGAGTGTGCTGAGGATTCTCCTCGCTGCTGCTGCTGCTGCTCCTGCCGCCGCCACCACCGATTCACCCCCTCCTCACCGCTCCACCCCCCAATCTCCGCCTCTAATGAATTAATGTTGAAATATGCAGGGGCTCAGTAGTCATTAGATGTGCGCCACAAGACGTGATTTAAGATGGCTGCCTTTTATGCATCTGCCAGGGAAGATGGAGCGGGTCGGGCCTGGCCGGACACTGATTGTCATGACTGACTGAGTCGAGACCACACCACACTGTGAGTGTGAGGTTGACAAGTTTCTGCAGAACCATGTCTGCTGGAATATTGCTACCCCTGGGTATGTTTTGTTGATGTGCAGATACAAAGATGCAGGCTGATAATTTTAAGTGATTAATGTCCTTTTTTACTGGCACATTAAAGCAGGTGTTAAACCAGGCCCAGAAATTGGCCAGAGCCCGGAGTAAAATGTCCTTGTATCTATTTATAGCCTTCACATCCTCCTTACAAGAGTTCTGTCATGTCCACCCTGAAGAGTCATCATTTCTCATTAATTGTATATTATTCTCCAGACTCTATTTTCTATTGTAGAATTTAAACTGTGGGATGTTTATCAGTTAGCTTAGCTTCTACTCAGCGAATATCTGCCTCAACGGGGTCCAAAGTTAGACCAAAGGTAGTGATTGTGTTCATTTGCCAATTGTTTAATTATAAACTGTTATGTAGATAGCCAAATAGTTTGATAAAGTTTGGTAGAAAACGAGTATTGGATTAAGTGTTGGATAGGCCAGTGGACTGTTTTGTGTTTTTGGTTTTACAGGAGTTTAGGGAATAAGGGAATAGTAATAAAAAAAACTATTATAATGCAAGGCTATATCATTGATAATATATTTAGTGTAATTTTGTCAGATATATTTTTGTCTTTACATCCATGGTATAATTTGTGACAACTAAAACCATGGATTGTAAAGTCTGTAAAGTTTTTCATGTCAGTACCAGCCTCCAACATGCTACAGACATGTATTTAATTTTTTTTTAAAAAGACACTGTAACTTTTCTGAACATTTTTGACAATGTTTCATTACTCGTGGGCAGGTCTATAATCTATTTCCTTTGAGACTTCCTTCTTAAGTCGAGATCACACCATTAGCAGCGCTCTCTTTCTGACGGCAGGGCGGAAATTAATTAATAAATAAACACTGCATTTACATTCATCAACATGCAGTAAGAATAGCTCTAATTATCACAGGTGAATTAACACTTTCATTTTTGTGTCAAAAAATTAATTGTATCCCTTAACAGCAATTCCCAAGAGGATGTAAAAGAACAGAATGAGCGGAGGGAAAAGAGAGGGAAAAAAAAAAAACACAACAGTGCGGACCACCAGGAGTGCTAATTGCTGCTTTCAAAGCCTTGCGTCAGTGTTACCCTCCTTCTACCAGGTTGTACAGTGTCCTACAGAGAGACGCTCTTGGTAGAGAGTTGTTTCAAATACATGGATGTCAAGTCTTGATCTACAGGACCCTGGCAGGAGGGAAAAAAAGTCATATTTCCTTAACTAGTCAAGTTGTTGGAGAACATGCTGTATTTAGATCAGTGTCAGTGGGAGGTCTGACTGTTTAAAGCTCTGAAGCTGCATGCAGCTCTTCAGAAGAAAGTGGTGACTCTTCACCATCCTATATCAAAGAAAAATCCCAGTGTCTTCAATGTACAAATGGGGATGAGGTTGTCGACACTCGCCTCATCTGAGGATTAAAATTCCAGTTCCTTTCAAATGTCGTTTATAAGAACCAAAAATTCAGATGGAGTTAGATGAAAAAAAAAACTGAATGTTTACGAAGTTTCTGCTAAAGTTTAGTCAATATTTTGTGTTTGCCCCCGATTCAAAAGTTTTGAGCTTCAAAAAACCCTGTCAAATAAAAATAAACACAGCCATTGTTAGCATTGTTTAATGCTTTGTATGATACAGTAGAATAGTGCTATAATTTTTTGTAATAATTTAATCTAGGCCCCATCGTTACATTTGCAACCACATTACAATCTTTCAGAATAACATGACAACTTTCTAGTAGTAGAACATTCAGGTGAGAACCGACATCAAGTGAGGAAAACAAGAAGTCATCCACAGATGAGCTTTTCTGGTTTGGAAAAAAATAACTTTAGACCATCCATCAACACCTTCAGATATTTAAAATGACCACATACCTTGACAGTAGAACTACTTAACCAAATGTGAATATTTTCATATTTTATGTGTTTCTATAAACCTGTTCTTTTGAGTAACAGAGTGAGTGAGTGGTCAGGACGTGTGAGAGCGCCTTCAACTCTTTTAGCGTGTTAATGTCTGAGTGAATAATCTTGTTTCTGTGACTGAATGACAGAATGAGTGAATGGAGGGATCATTCCAGGCATGCACACTGCGTGATGTGTGTGTGTATTGAAGTGTGTGTGCGTGTGTGTGTGTGTATCTGGTCAATCCACGGGTGAATAGCACTACATTAACCACACCATTAGCACATTTAGCTGTCTGTAATGCCCGAGTGTTAGTGACATGCCGGGGTCCCACCTCCACTTAGGCACCGCGATGACAGACAGCACTGACATGTCAGGTGACACTTAGGCCACAATGGGAGAGACGAAGAAGTGCCACGGCTACAGACCGCATAAAAGGATGTGTGTTCATTTTTAATCTAGAGTCCGAAAAACAAGGTTACATTGAAATGTGTCATTTGAATATAAAGAGTCCCAGAGAGTGTGTTGCACCAACAGGATAGATTTAGATTCAGAAAACTTTATTCATCCCTGCGGGAAAATGAGAGGACACGGAGCGAAGGATTGAACAAATACCAAAGGACAAAGAACGAACAAAAGCGTCAAAGTGGAATAAGAATAAAATAATGTGTTGTAGATGAGGTAAATGTGTAATTTGATTGGAATGAGAAATTTAAAATCTGACTCAATAATCATTAGCAGTAAAGTGGCGTTAGAATTTGGCAGAAAGACCGTTTGAACAGATCCTTGAACAGGAAGTGATCATTTTAGTCTATCTTTAATCTATCAACACCATTTTTGTTATTCTAGCTAAATGTTAGACATCTACAGGCTAATCGATCTCCAATAATAAGATAGTCCCAACTTTGTCTGGCAGATCAGATAACTTTACATATTAAATCTCTTGTTTTAGAAATGTACTCTTACATTTGTCATTAATGAGCTTTCTTTCTGATAAGACTTCACTAAAAATACAGATATGCTCTCTTAGTCTTGGCCTTGAGCCAGTTAACACAATGCTGCATTTAGCAGCTTGTATGTAAGCATCGGCAGCTCTGAAATAGCTGAATGTGTAAACAAGCAAATGTATCTCGCTAATAAGTTTTTATATGAACCCAAAAAGGTCATAATATTTCTATATTGGTTCCCGCAGCAGAAAATCACATGTTACAGTCAAAGCTGCACTTATTCTAGTTAGTCGCATATATATTATGTGTCTAAAAATATGGCTGTACGGTGTAGACACACAAGTGTCTAATGAGCATATGTACAGTTTCAGCGACTGTGGCATTAATTACACTGGTATATAAACTGAGCAGTATGTGCAGGGAAAAAAACACTCCCTCTGTATCAGTGTCAGTGTCAGGTTTAGTGTAAATCTAAATGTAGATGATGTGAAGTGCTCCTCGATATACTGCTCACTGCCAGTTCACCGTAAATGAGGCCATTCCGTGAGCTAAGTTTGGACACTGGAGCCTAATGGCAACATTAAAAAGGAGACCTGAGAGAATAGATGGCTGGACATCACTCACTTTAATCACCTGCTTCATTATTCAGTGGACGGATGGCACCTGGTCATACATGAAGGGTGTCAGTGTGAGACCTGGGGTCTGAGGTCTCTGAGATACTAACCGTCCTGTCTGGTCCAGTCCAGTTTAGTCCGGTCTAAAGACGTCTTATTTTTAGCTGCAGCCGAAAGCATTACTCTGGCTGTGTGTGTGTGTGTGTCTGTGTGTGTGTGCCCGCGCCCCGCTTGCTTTATGAGAGATGGGGAATAAAAGAAATT